CTATTGAAGGGGCTGGTGGTTACATTACCTGTGAATTAGAAAGCAAAACGAAGATACAATGAGGAGTGTATTTGAGCTGTATTTCTGTTAAAGCTGGTTCCTCCTCCCCAACCCCCTCCTTTAATAAAGGAAAAAAATAAAATCGCAAACAGGAGCTGCACTTTTTGGAGATTAACAGGCCCAAAGCACAAACCCTTCCCCTTTGAACTTCTGCTTCTGTGCTGTCACTGCGCATGTACCGCCTGTGCGGCTGCAGGTACACCCGGGGCATCAGCTCTAACAGAGAAAGGCAATAGAATTGTCTTCTGCTTGTTTTCATGTTATGTGGTACTGAAATGCAATTCCTTGTTTATGCATTACTAATAAAAAGTTCCTTAAAATGACATTGCATTGCGCTTGCTTTCTTGAGCTAACTGTAAAGACGGTGAGCGTCATTTCTTACACAACGCAGCTAGTAAGGGCATGTTCCACATTTGTTTGGTCAGGTAGAGCCCTGAACCTTAGCTGCTGCAGATTTTAACTAGGTTAGAAACAAAATTACGGAAGAGTAAGAAGGGGAAGTATTGTACCAGCAGGGCCCCAAATTAGGAGCCCTTATGGATGATTTGACTTGCGGGTGCCTTCCAATAAAATGAGAGTCATACCTCAATCACCTCAGCTGTGGAAAAATTAAGAGGACTTGTGCTTCACAGAAATGCCTTTTCATTGAACAAATTTGTAGCGAAAGCATGACCTGCTTCCTGGAGCTGCGATTAAAAGGCTAGCCCATAACCTGCATGATTCTGACCGGTGGCAAGTAGCGTTGGCCCGCCAAGAAGATGATAGTTTATTAGATAAATAAGGTCTTATTTACAAGTGAAGGCTAACCTTTTCAGAGGGCCCTCTCCTGTTTTACTGCAAAATGAAGCGGCTGCCAGACCCAAATGGAGTTACCAGTTCAGGCACAGAGGACCCCCGCAGAGCTTTTGACCAGTAGGCTGGGTGGCTTACAGTGAGCTCCAGGGAATGGGTCCTGCTGCTTACCCAGCACAGACTAACGCAAATAATTTTTCTGCAGCCTTCTCTGAAAACCAACAGCCCATTTTCTATTACAGCAGTTACACCCAGAAGTGTTTTTTTTAAACGGAGTCATTTATTTAAGATAGCACCACAGTGTACATAGACACTTTACAGAGTCCTGCCCTTCACAGCTTACAATCTAGGAAGATGCAAGAATAGGAAAGCTGTTACCCACTGCTCCACCTGAAGATTTAAATGAAAAGTGGCACATCAAGGAATGTCACTGGTCATCTTACTCGGTGCTACTTTATTACATCATCACATACATCAATGCCTGATACATGTTAAGTGCTGCAGTTCAGTGCCTTTACTTGTGTTAAGCAAGTCTTTCAAGAATACTGCAACTTACACTAGGGTTGCCCGCTTTCCCAACAAATATGACCCTTCCCCCATCGCGCCTGCTGACCTGATGGGGGAAAAGAAGTGAGAAGTGTGGGGGAGCAGGGAGGGCTCACACTGACGCAAGGGCAAGTCAGGAAAAAAAGGGAAAAAAAAAAGGATCGTCTACACAAAACCGATTACACACACAACCATTTGATTACACTGTTTTAAGGTAACGCCTTTTGTTGCTAACATGAGCCTGTCCGCACTAGCACAAAAAATAGGCATCAACCAGAAACCAGTTTACCTCAAGTTTGGTATCTTCAACATCTTAAAATCCTTTAGGGCCAAGAGCTAACATGCCCAGTTTGCCAAGCTCCGGGAACCACTGCTGCCATCTTCCCTCACTGTTTCCCCGTGGTCAGGAACCAGCTATCCCCAGCTTCATCCTTCCACAGCAGGCGTGTGCGACGCAGCCGTAGTTACTGGGCAGGGTGAGCAGCCACACTCCTAACCAATCTGGAGACTTGATACACTGGCTCTAAATTCTTAAAACCAAACTACCCCTCCCCATGCCCCCCCCACTCCCTTTCCCTTGAACTGCAACCTAACCGCTGAGAAACACTGAACTGCAAGCCTCAGTGGCTTGAACAACAGCAGCCAACACCCTCCCTCCCCCAACACACAAAACTCTACTTTAATTCTATTTTCAACTCTCAAAGTGCAGAATTCTTATTCAAAATGGCACTTGTGACCCATTAATCAGCATGGTTACAGGTGCTGAGCTTTCTTCTGCTTGGTCCCCAGCGCTTCAAGATCCTTCCAAGTTAATGTGTTGACTTAACGCCATTTCTGCTTTATAAATTTTTTTCCTCCTACGTACCCGGCTGTTTCTGCACCAATCCAAAAAGCTACACCCCCCCCGCTTCCACAGGCAGCCGGCCACTTTCCCTCACGTGTGGCTTTCTGTCTTTGACAGCCACTGCAGTCAATGCACGTGACATAAGACTGACTTCAGAAATATTTTTTTAGCCATTTCCAGTAAATAAAGAAAAGATGGGGGAGTTTCCCTAGGGAAGGGCCAAGATAAGCAATTCCAAAGGCAGGGGGTTTTTTGCCCCAAGGGTCAAGTCAGAACTGGAGTGGGAAATGGAATGCCTCAAAAACTGTGTTAAGCACAGCAGGGCTGAACACCCAGCTACAGATCCCATTGGATCCCACGGAGAAGAGTCACATGGTCTTCACAAGGGAGAAGAAGGGTGGGAGCCCTGTATGCAAACTAGATGGGCAGAAAGCAGAAGAGTGAAAATGTCGAGGAAAGCTTACAGGAAATTAAGAATCACTTCACCTGCTAAACACTGGTGCCTACTTGGTCCCAGCGTGACCACTGCCTGCAAGGTCCTTTGTACGCACTGGCAAAATGAGCAACCATGGGAAGATTGATAGGCCCAGAGGTGCAGGAGTGTCACGTACCCCAAAGACAAGGTAAGAAGCAGCAGCACTGTCCGGCAGCAAAGAGAGGCAGCGGGGTGACGGAACTGGCCTCTGGAAGAAATGAGTCTTTTTCCGACCCAAAGCTTCCCCACTCCCATTTAGCCTAGAGACAAGCAGAAGAGGACTGAGCACAAGCAGGCACGGTGCTGATCCGTAGCAAGCGGAGCAGCAGACAGATCGGAAAACCAAGCATCTAGCCATATAGTTCCCACGTAGCACGAAACGTGCAGAGGAAGCAGCCCAAAACCAGTGGGAAATGAAACAGAAAGGAGATGCTGCGAGACAGGCAGATAAGGATTTGTTTCTGGAAGAAGGAAACAAAGTGCAAAGAAAGTAATCCAGAAAACTGATGCGTAACTGGTACCGACCCTACGGTGTGGCAGAGGAGTTCGGCCCTAGACAGAATATAGGAGCCTGTGGTGACTTTCTGGGCCACCAGCTAGTGCTGGAAGGCGCTGTACACAAGTCAGTCGGCTTTAAGACAACACTACGCAATTATTTCAAATCTGACGCAAGCAGCAGCTTTAGACAATTTTTCTTCCAAACCGAAGAAATACATGAACTTCTCCAAGGACTTTTCTACCCCCCTGACAGTTGTTTTCATCATCTCCAGTAGGCATGTATGGAAATGCTCTAGTACAGGTTTCCACACGCACACACACTTACTCATCTCGTCCTTTCGTTCACAGAGCTCTGCCATAGCTGCACTCCCCTTCCTAGCAGAATTTCACCGGGAGCTAGAACATCATCTTCTGCAGTCTTTAGCCAGGAAGTGGCATCACTCCTCTGAGAAGCACAACTGACCTGCACCAAAGCTATCCGGCGTATCTTCCGGAAAGGGGTTGCTATCAGCCTTTAAGCTCCAAGTTTCTGTTCCAAAATAAGAAAGGCTTTAGGTCCATATAAAAAGAGCAACGTAAATATTAGCTACTCATTTAATTGCTTTCGACTAATACGTATATTTTTTTAAATGAAGTTTATTCATTAGGCTCATGTAATTTAGTGAGACTAGTTACACCCAAATTAATGTTCACTTTCAAACTAACCAGAATACAAACACTGAAATTTTCCTCAAGCTACAGACACTTTAAAATCACCAGATCAAAACAGTGACCAACATTTTACTCTTCTAGTTTTTTAGAAGTTACTCATGCTCTTTAACAGCTTCCTAAACACACGCTTGTCACTTGAACGAGTAAACATCCTTGCAACATTTATTTCACTTTGTGCGCACACCAAAAAATAAGTTAAAATGCCCTAACAGAGGGCTGTCTAAGAAACGTGTACTACACCTGGACCAAACATGAAAATTTTGTGAATATCAGACAAGGCTAGGACTGTTACCAATATCTATTTATGCACGTTTTATAGGAAGCAATTTCTGCAGTTACTGGAGTATTTTTCCAGATAATGAGAAGCATTTAAAATGATCCTGAAACCATTTTGTACCAATGCGGAGAAGCGTTGAAAGAATTCGGTTACACAGGTAGTCAGTAGTTACTAGAAAGCACGCAAAAAGGGCAGTCCATTTGTTTTTCTTGTACTCCATGTTTTCTCCATTCAGGGCATGAAAAGTACATGTTCATGAAACCTTACCATTTGGATTCCAAATGTCCTGCTTATTTCTCATTTCAACTCTTCTGGTTATTGCACCAGTCTCTCCCTCAGTTAAGACATGATGTGAAGAGCAAGGACCAGTGGAACAGCACAGTCTCTTCATTCAAGTAGCCTACAAGTACCCTTCTTAGAGATAAATAAGAGAAGTATTTTCCAGCACCTTCCAGGAATTACTAGTCCTCTCCTCATAGGGAGAGGAGGAACTAGGGCAAGTTAATAAATATGAAAATAAATTACACCCTTCTCCCCACTAAAAAACTGGTTTAGACTATTAACATCAATAGAAACTTTATCTTTGTTTGGATACAAACATCTAAGAGGTAAAGTATCTGCATTGTTCTATCATGTTCAGGCAGCACATTTAAACAACGTAAGAAAAGTTAGTACCACACAAGTTTTAGCTTTTCGGGATGATCCTCTAGATAGATATCTAGATATCTATCTACAGATATCTATATAGATATCTAGATATATATTAGAGAGAGAGAGAGAGAGAGAGAGAGAGAGAATCTATATATCTATCTAGATATCTATCTAGATAGATATCTAATTCTACAGTATCATGTTCTAACTCATGTAGTTCCCTTTAAATGGTCATGAGACACTATCAGATCACAGAACAGACAAAATTCAGTGCTCTAGTACCTATCAGCCCTTCACAGAACAAATGTTCACATGGAAAACCCTTAATATGACACATGCATTCTTTTCAAGTTTGAGTACGAAAAACCGAGATGGTGTAAATATAACATACTCTCTATCTTTGTTATAAAAGGCACATTTAGGCAGTTTTAAATGTGCTAAATGTTTTGTTTCCAGTGTTAAACATAAATTGTTTAAATGAAAAGAGCATCTGCGGGAGGTCAATTTAGTCTTCAGTAGGCAACAGGAGCTGCTGTGGAGGTGACGGATGAGGTTGCTTTTCCGCTGATCCAATATTCTTATAAATATATAAAACCTCTGCAGATCAGCCTTGGAAGGGAGATCTACAAAGCAGTCTGCAGAATAAAATTGTTCTGTCAGTTACTTGGTATTTTTGGTTTTATTTTTCTGTTGACGCTGCTGCCATGGCTGGTTTCATGCCCTCGCGTGTTGACTTCAGCTCCTCCAATTCTGTGTTTAGTTTGCTGATCACCCACTCCAGGGCATCCCGACCCTGCCAGGAAAATACTGGAATTTAGGATCAGGACAGATACACCACCACTGCTCATGTTGCTATAGTTTTTCCTCTGTCAGACATGAGACTTGTTTTAAAATTAATTTCATGCCCTGCATAGTTTGATACCAGATTATATTGATAACTTCTTAGCATGTTCTTATGGAAACTTCACTGCAAAGGCATTTGCTTAACCCATAAGCAAGAAGTAAATGCAATATTGGTGTGAGCTCCCAGTACTGCACTTTTAAGCAAAAATCCTAATTCAGCAGTGAAGTTCCCTTATGTAAGAGTATTGCTGTTTTTACTGTTTGCTTCTCTCACCACCCACAGAATATCAGCAAATCTATGGCAAAGTCTAGATACTGTTCTCAGATTCATTAACCAAGTTGTATGGACAGTTTTTGAGAAGATCCAGGACAAAGAAAGATAGTCTTCCAAGTGCTCTTTGAAGTAGCAACTAATTGATTTGGTATCTAGCAAGAGTTCAGGGATGGACTCGCACTGTCTATATTCATACACAGCAACTTCTCAGCATATAAAACAGACTAATTGAGAGACTACAGTCGCACATTTTATATCAAGGTACGGTCTTTCTCTGTTCAGTTCTCAGAATGGGAGCGCCTCAAAGCCAGGCGTTGACAGCCAATGCTTTAGTAAGAGCTGGGGAATCCAGCAAAATAAGCATGTCAAAAATCTTTTACCTTAAGAAGACCCTGTATCAGCTGCACCCCAATGACCACAAGATGAATACGCAGCCAGCCGCACAATGAAGCCAAGAAAATAGAGAAGCACTTTAACTAAACAAAAGTGCAAGATTTTAGAGCTCCACAATCTCAGAATGACAGCTTTTGCCAAAACAAGCAGACGGGATCAGACCAGGAAAACACCTGGCCTTTTTTCCTTAAAGAGAAGCCAAGAGACATTCACCTCTATTACCCTACTAAGAATAAGAAGTACAAACAGTGGAGAGCGGTAACTCAGAGCCACGTGGCTCTGGCCAAGTGTAGAGGAGTTCTGGAGATAAAGGGTCTGAGCTGAAAAAGTCCTAAGTCTTCAGGAGAGCCAGTGTCAGTGCCCAAGCCCTCTGCAGAGATTGAGGGAAAGGGAGGGAACAGCCCTCCACACACACAGAGAGTTGTTCTGAACTCTGATGTACTATTTTTGTTGCGTGCATTATAGGTGATAAAGTGAACAAAAACCTCTTAAAGTGTCCAGAACCTGCTGTTGTCCTTTATAAACCACTAAGCATGAACAAGAATCTGCATAAACAGCTCTGAAAACCTAAAAAAAAAAAAAGGTCAAAACAAGACCCACACATACTCTTGAACAATTTTTTTGGAGGCTAAAAACATTACTCTGGAATAATACTAAAAGCCCAGTTCCAGGCTGCAAAGTGTAATCTATTAAAAGAAATAAAGTTTTACTATGAATAAGAACATATTTACCTCAAGACCCTCACTAAGTTCAGTGAAGGGCTGACTCTGTTCCTCTTCAGGTTTTTCATATTACAGGGACTCACAGAATAAACACTAATTGCTATGTCTGCACTGGCAGGCAGTCCTTAACCTGAGAAAAATTATCCACATATCACAACAAAGTGTTCAACTCTTGGCCAGAGCTCAGAAAGGGGGATTCAGCCCTATCCAGAATTACCTCAAGCACTAGTATCTTTATGTTGACTTAGTTCAAGACATGCCTTTAAAAAATATCAACAATAATCAAGAAAACATGATTTAAATTGTCCAGTTTAAGTGCAGGTTGCTGAAAAAAGTCCGTAGAAGAATATGATTTAACAACTTCTGTGTTCCTTCCATTTGAGCACCAAATCGACCATGCTTCAGCAGGTGCTAACTTCCACCACCTCTACATCCTGTGCAAGACCTGGGAACACCAGCAAAGCAGGGATAAAAGCACCCAGACAGGAGTAGGCTACTGCATAGCAACAAGTTGTAACTAGCCATGAACTAGCTGAGTAGAGTGCTCCGTAAGGAACAAAGCGGGGGGAGAGAGGGGGAATCATCTTTCAGTAAGCACGCATTGGGGTATTTAAAAGTCAGGTTAAAATGTCCTCTCTTAGGTGACACAGGCACAGAGAACTGAGTAAGACAGCAACAGCTTACATGTTATATTTGTCTAATTGCACAAAGACGACTTGTCAAAAAGTCAAACACCTGTGATGTAGAAAATGCTCAGTAGAAAAATACTGAGATTCTTTTCAGGCCCTGACTATGAAACAACCAGGTCATAGTATTTTAGTTGATATATTTGTTGGTAAGATAAGATAAAATAAAGAAGAAAAAAATCCATGACATTCAACTGGAGCACCAAGATATTTCCTTCAGCTTTTGAGACTACATAGGTCTGCATGTTTCCTTAGACCTACATACACTATATGCTGTACTTTGCAGCTAAGAATAAATTCATTATATTGGCAAGGAAGATTTCAGGAATATTCTGCACAGGAAATTAAGTTACAAAATTTTAACCAGATGCAAAGCCTCCAAGTACTGTAGAACTACCCAGTTACCAAAAAAAAAAATCTGACAGAGGATTGGTCTATAAAGTTTCACACTGTACAACAAATTCTGTAGTAAGTCATTAAGCAAGCACATTCATAACCAGGCATGCATATTATATTAGTCTTTATTGCATATGTTAGCAGTATGACGTGTTTGGCAGACCAAACGCTGCATATGAAGATTTGTTGGTAGAGCTTAAGTGACTGATAAATGCTGAGCCTTTGTAGTTGACATTTTCCAGAAAAACAGCCATAAAAGCTTAGTGGAATGAGAACATAAAAGCAAACACTCATGGCATACACTGATCTCAAAGTAAGCAAAAAACCCCTACATTCTTAACTAGGAGAAGCAGCATAATAGATTTTTTCTTTTTTTAAGGAATCTTATTAGTTGAAGCCCATACAGGAACGACAGAGACAGGCCAAACTGACTAGTGGAAGCACAACAATCTGCGCAGAAGTATCACAGGGGCAAGTACACTCAGTTCTCTCAACCTTGACATCAGATTTTTTCATAGTCACATCGCTTAAGGGACACGTCACTACCAAAATGATTAGAACTACAAGACCAATGAAAAACACAAACAGACTGACATTCTGACAGCTTCAAGCTTTGTACAGATTTCCACAGAAGTTCACAGAAGGGCAACAAGATTCCTCGGGCATAAGAAAAGCAAATACAATTTCACTATGAGAAAGACTGGCCCTGTTAGGCAATCTGTTTCAAGAAATCAATTTTATATCCTAAGACTACAATTCTGTTTCATTTTTATAATGCAAATTCCAGTCATTCACCAATTTATTAATTTCTTCAGGTACTAGTTTTACATACTGAAATCACAGAAACCAGGACCAGATCAAACACTTGGTAGAGAGACCCATTCACGTGCCTAGTTATCTGCAGTCATCATTCCACTTTCAAACCATAAGCAATAACGTGTGGCACAAGACATGGCTGCAGCAAGTTGGCTGTCCAGTGGCATAAGCACGGGTTAATTGATCCAGTCTAGATCTGACCTACTCTCGCTCTCTACAACTGCAGTGTAATGATCATGTTTGCCATTCCTGTATGCAATGTATATAAAACATACATGCGGGTTAATTTATGAAATTCACATGACAACAATCCATGCACATATTTGCTAGAAAGCTGAAATGCTGTACCAAGAAGAAGAATGCTGGCATTACCACTAGTTAGTACAAACTGTAGATGTGGAGAACTGCTAGCTTAGAGCGCTTTCAGAATTTTGAATTATCCACTCAATAGCATCCCACCCCTGGAGTAACACAAAAAAGATTTACAACGTATGGCAAATGAGTTTTCCATCGTCATTTAAAAGAATAATGCGTCATCTGCCACCTCTACCTCAGAGCACAATCTCAATACTTACTTCCTGTTTCTTCAAAACAACAAAACATTTTTCAGCAACTTTCGTGACGTTTAAGAGGGGTGCTAAGAGCACAGACGCACAGCACAGCATGCGGGAAGAGCTACTAGCAGCAGAGTAGGTTACTGCTAGCAAAGAAAGGGCTGGGGACAGCAACTACAAATTCCTGCCAAGTTCAAGATCTCTAAAGAGACTCTTCAGTGAAACACACAGGACAAGAAGGTCTTTTTGATTTGCAAGAAGCTTGTGAGCCAGTGTGTTCCTTGAAAATGGCAGAACAGAAGAACAATCTTTAAAAGAAATCGAGCTCTCACACAGGCAGCACCTGAATAGGTACCAAGGAATATTTACAC